AGAAGATTTATTCATGAAAAACTCAATAAACAAGACTTGTTAGAAATATATGTGAATTGTTTGTTATAATCAAAACAAATGGAGTTATATTAAATCATAGGTCAACACCAACACCATCTTGAGAGGTTTTGAGAATATATGATAGTTTACCTTCGGTAATTACTAAAACTTCATATCAATTCTATATTTCTCCATTATTATTCATAAGTCAATAAAATCTCCAAATTTCTTTGCCATATTTCTTGTCTTTTATTATTCTTTTGTTTACGATCATATACTTCATATTTTGCTATACAATTTCGATATTTCAATCCTGAATTACAACAAGTGAATCGGAGAAATACACAATTTTTAACAATTGGTATCATAGCAATCCCGTCGGTCCTCAACACATTTTTATAAAGTAATTAGTTAGTTTTCTCTCCAGCCACCTTCTCGATCATTCAAAAAATTTTATCCGTGCAAAAGTATCTGTTTGATGTATTTTTTTCTATCGAGTAGTTAGTTAGAAATCTATCCATCCACCTTCTAGTTCATTTCAAGTTTTCCGTTGATAAAAAATCAAATTATTGTTTTATTTTATTATTTATCTATTGATTAGTTAGAATTCTATGCACCATCCTTCTCGCCGGTTTCGAATTTTCAACCGGTTAAAAATAAAATAATAATAAAACATATTCACATTACTGTTCAATTTGGAATTCGCTCCAAAGTCTATATTCCCCATGTTTTTTAAGTTGATTTTGTCTAATACTTTGTGGCTCCAAAATTCCAATTAGAGATGGAAATTACTACAGCGTTTTCCTTGGAAACCCACAATTTAAATTCCATTTAATTACTCTTTTTCCACCGTTTTCCATTTAATAAGCATTTAACTCTTGACTTGGTTGAGTTATAGACTCAAAGCCAATGGACAAGAAGTCATATTTTCCGGTACAATAGGGTTAAAAATAGGTAAGACACGTGTTATTCACTGATTGGACAATTTAAAAATAAAAATAAAAATTATCCAAACAGGTGCTGACAGATGCACCTGTTTTTCCTCCTTGTCCCCGACCCTGTCTGACTAACTGTTCCCTTCAATAAAATGCAACTGCTCATATTTGGCGGGCTGATGTCACATTTTTCAAAGATCACGGTATAATCGTCATGGCTAATTTTCAAGATTCAAGACTGTATGGCGTCCAGGGAGAGGAAAAACACAGTATAAATAGAAGAATTAATACAAGAAGATTATAATGCAAGTATCCTCTGCTTGAGAAATCAGAAAAGAAAATGAGTCCTTTTTCAAATTTCGTAGTTCCTCTTGTTTCCTTTACTTTGTTCACCATTTTCCTCTTCAAATGGTTCTCTAATCCGGCTTCAACAGCGAGGAAAAGGTTACCGCCATCGCCACCAAAGCTTCCCGTGATTGGTAATCTTCACCAACTCGGCTTATACCCTCATATCGCGCTGCAAGCGCTATCCAAACGCTATGGTCCCCTCATGATGCTTCATCTGGGACGAGTGCCAGCAGTTGTTGTCTCGTCTGCTGATGCAGCTCGTGAGATCATGAAAACTCAGGACATCATTTTCTCAAACAGGCCAAAAGTGAGCATTCCTGATAAAATTGTTTATGGCTCTAAGGACATAGCTTTTTCGCCTTATGGTGAGCACTGGAGACAGGTGAGAAGTATTTGTGTGCTACATCTTTTGAGTAACAAGAGGGTTCAATCTTATAGTCATATAAGAAAAGAAGAAACAGATCTTTTGATCGATAAAATAAGACAGACATCTTCTTCTCCCATGTCCGTGACAAACATGAGCAATTTACTGGTGTCAGTTACTAATGATACGATTTGTAGAGTGGCCCTGGGGAAGAAATATAGCGATGGTGAAGCAGAAGGAAGCACCAAATTTGAGTTGATGTTGAAGGAAATTATGGAGCTAGCAGGCACTTTTAATGCAGGCGATTTCATTCCATGGCTTAAGTGGATGAATAAAGTTAATGGCTTGGACAACAGAGTCGATAAAGTGGCTAAAGCGTTCGATGAATTTTTGTCGGGTGTAGTTGAAGATCATAGAAATAGAAATCAAGGAAAGATGGATCGTGGTGACAGCAGCAATGAAGCAGATCTAGTGGACTTATTGCTCGAAATTCAAAGGGAAAGCAAGTCTAGTTTCGCCCTTGATGATGAGTCCATCAAGGGCGTCATTTTTGTAAGCATATCTCCGTCTCTTCCTCTCTATATCTCACATGCATGCAGAGGTCATTGAAGATTGAATTTAACTAAACAAATGAGTTTTCTCTCTAACAATTTAAGGTTATATAGGAGGTAGTTCAACAAAGGGAAACCATTCATTTGGTTGAATATATTGCAAGCTATTATATAGATTTAACTTCATTCAATGAACTAACCCTCTGCATTTATGACAGGATATGTTTGGTGCAGGAACTGATACAACATATACTTCTTTGGAATGGACAGTGGCTGAGGTTTTAAAGTACCCAGAAATAATGAAGAAACTGCAGAACGAGGTGACACAAGTAGTAGGAAGCAAATTAGAGGTAACGGAAGAGGATTTAGAGAAAATGCCATATTTAAAGGCAGTGATGAAAGAGAGCCTTAGACTACACCCTCCAATTCCAATGCTCGTTCCAAGAGAATCGACCCAAGACACCAAAGTAATGGGGTACCACATTGCAGCTAGAACACAAGTGATCATCAATGCTTGGGCTATTGCAAGAGACCCCACGCAATGGGAAAATCCTGAAGAATTTAATCCAGAAAGGTTCTTTAAAAACACGGCAGTGGACTTTAGAGGCTTTAATTTTGAGTACATTCCATTTGGTGCTGGTCGAAGAGGCTGCCCTGGTATTACATTTGCCATGGCTGTCAATGAGTTGGCATTAGCAAAATTGATGCTTAACTTTGATTTTGCATTGCCAATTGGAGCAAAAGATTGGGACATGACTGAAGCCGTTGGAAGCACTGTTCATAAAAAGAATCCTCTACTTGTCGTTGCCACTCCTCATTCTTGCTAGTTCAATTTAGAGTATCATCACTCGTGTTTTTCTCTTAATTCGGTGTCATAGTCTTTGCAGTAAAAAGTTAAATGCATTATTATCATGTTTGAAATAAAATGTCGATGTTTCTTCATTAAAAAAATTTAAATGTACGTGTATTTCAGTCTTATTAATTAGAAAAATTCCATTCATTATAAGAATAAGCCTAAATTTATATTCTATCCTAAAAGAGTACCGACACGTAAATTTCAAGCATTTTACATGATGAGATAAAAATATCCTATATCAATTGCCATTAAATTTTTTCAAGAGAGAATCTATTCTTATACTGATTTTGTTGGTGGATGTCTTACAAGAGAAAGAAGTAGAAAAAGTTGGAAAATGCGAGAATCCCAATCTATGTTAGACTTGGCTTCATGGCATGTAATGACACTTTTCTTAAGACTTATTTGCCTCTGCCAATTCTGGGATGTAACCGGAATACGGTTAATCATTATCATGGTCTACGTCTGTTCACGAAGACAACCCGAACATCGAAGAATTAATGATTTCTATACTTTGTCTCTTGAGAATAAAAAAGTATAATCAAAATTTGCAGGAAAAGATGTAAACGCTTCAGTAAAATATGCAGGGAAAACAAAGAAATATGTTAAAATTGGGGTGTGATCCGAATTCTATTTGAAAGACTATTTCAGAATCTATTTGAAATCCACTTGGGAATTCAAGTTCAAATTCAATTTGGGAGTTTGGAATTTAATTTAGACTTGAAGAAGTCGTGAAAGAGTCCAAGTTGTAGTAGGAGAGGAATAAATCTTGCAAAGAGAAGGAAGCATCATGCCTAGAGCTCGCTAAGCGCTAAGCACCGCTCGAGCTCTCAAATCTAGGAATCTAGCACTAGCTAGCTGCGAGGAGGCCGCTCGAGCAACCAACCACTGCTCGACTTCCATTCGAGCGGCGGTCTTATCCAATTTTCAATCAGTTCGCGATTTTGGCAGATTTTTTAATCATATTTTATCCTAAACACTCATTGTTTTATAAACTTGTTATAGTTGAATTCCACAATATCTCAGGTTCTTCTTTGCACTATATATACGAGGGGTAAACTTCTAGAAAAATCAATCATTACATTCTACACAATAATTTGTGATTCTCTATTATTGATATTAATAAATTTTCCTTTTCTGCTCGTGGTATATTTTTATCACGTAAATTTTGTATTCTTATTTGATTTTCATATTATTCCCGTTCTTTTATTTCTTAACAAGTGGTATTAAAGCATAAATAATTCTTAACAAGAGGTATCAGAGTTCAATCAACTCAATTCGAGGTTTTATTTTTTGTGATGAAAACAAAAAAGTATGATATTCCGTTATGGATCACAACACCAAATTTTTGCTTTGGCAAGTAAAGATGGGATCAGTGTTTTCTCGGATGTATTTAGATTATGTATTGTTGGGATTTGACAAGATCCCATCAACTTGATATATGGAGGAAAGACAGTGTAATGACTGAAAGTCCCTATCATGGATACATCTTCAGATTTGGGATAAAGCAAATTGCATTTGAAGCAGTGCATATATTTTCATTGTATCACAGAGGTACATCATTGGAAGATCACCTATCTATTTTTAAAGAAATCGTCGCTAATTTGGAAACCTTAAAGATTAAGTATGAAAAAGAAGATTTAGGATTAATATTATTGTGTTCCCTACCCGCTTCATACTTATCGTTTAGAGACACGATCTTATACATTCGTGATACTCTCATCATTGAAGAAGTTTATGATGCTTTGTTTTCAAAAGAAAAGATGAAGCATTTTGTTGGATTTGAAGTTCATGGAGATGGTCTTGTTGCTGATGGTGGTCATGTGAGGGGCTGATTAAGGTCTAATTATAGTAATAAAGTCCATAATTATTGCAAGACACGGGAGCACATTAGGAATGATAGTTATAAGTTGTAGAAGAAGGAAAAATTAGCTGATGTAAATTAGAAGGAAAAACAATAAGCAATTTTAGGTGAAGCCAGAATTGCTGAAGATTGATACAAGATAAATAACTTTTGGTTATTTTTGACGGTAATCTGAACTTGACAAGGATTGGATTTTTGATACAGCTTACACTTTTCATATGTGTCCTAACCGAGATTTGTTCTCAATATATGAAATAGTTTTTGAAGTTGTTGTGGTAATGAGAAATAATTCACCATGTAGGATAACTTGTATTGGAAGGATCAGAATGAAGATGTTTTATAGAACTGTCTGGACATAGATAATGTGAGACATGTTTCTGATTTGAAGATAAATCTTGTCTCCTTGAGTATTCTTATTTCAAAAGGGTACATGCACACTTGTGCAGGTAGAGTCCAAAGGTTAGTAAAGGTGCATGTGTTGTGTTAAACGAATAGAAAAGGTCCCAGTTATATGTCTTTCTTGGTTCCACGTAATCTTTGAATATTAATCAGTAGACGTTAAGGACTCTAGTGAATTTTGAGTTTGGTTCGGTACTGTTAGAGTTCGATTTGGGGTCTAGATACATCTCAGTCGAGTTCCGAAGTTCTGGGTAATGTTGTTTTGTCACCATCATTGGTGGTGTCATTATGTTTAATTGGTAGAGACAGATACAAAAGAGATAATAAGCTTTCACAAAGGTATGGTGACACTGATTTAGTTGTATTTATGTTAAGGTTAAGGGTATTAAGTCTAGCAAAGAATCATCTACAGAACCATTTGGTTATGTTCATACTGTTATAGGGTATGTTTCTACTCTATTTTGTATTTATAAAGTTATTTGTGATTTTGTTACTCGTGAGGATAATTCGAGCAACTTTGATGTTCAGTGTAATCTTGCCGAGTAGTGCTTAGATTTAGTTATTTTTCAGTTATTGAGTTTGTCATAGTTGGACCTTGTGAAATGAGGGGAGAATTTTCTTTTGGAGGATTTTTTGGTTGAAGATTTAAGTTTTATTTCTTGCAATGAAATTTGTCTCTTGGTGGAGAATATTCGTAGTTTTGTTCATTGTGGTGGAATTTGTTATAATAAGGATGTGGCCTGAATTCTATTTGAAAGACTATTTGCAAATTCTTGTTAAAGTCTATTTGAGAATTCTAGTTGGAATTTAATTTAGGAGTTAATTGGAAGTTTGGAATTCGTTTTGGACTTGAAGAAGTCATGAAAGAGTCCAAGTTGAAATAGTAGAAGAAGAAAATGTGCAAAGGGAAGGAAGCATTGTGTATAAAATTCGCTATGCTCTTAGCATCGCTCGAGAGCTCAGAATAGGAAAGCCAGTGCTCAAAAATACATCATACTCAAAGCTCCTCTTCAGAATTGTGATTGCAGGCATCAGGGCACCCACATGCTGGGATTCTGCCCACAGCATGTACGCCCCGGGTGGTACCTAGGCTAGTGAGTGCACGCGATGATCTAGTGTCTAATATGCATGATGGATAGATTTTCACCCGTTTAGCTGATTTTTCACATACTCTTTGTCTCTCTTTGTTTTCTAGAAAATTTTCGTTATTATAACTTGAAAGTTACAAGACAACTTTACATATTTTTCACATATCTAACTATTGTTGATTTTATAAGAATCGTAACAAGTAATGAAGTGAACCTATGGTCATAATTATTGTTCCCACGAGAACTATTTAACCTTGTTTTAACTATTTTCAACTTCAATTTGATTGAAAAAATAAACAATTATATAAAAAAAAATTTAATCTAAATCTACAAAAACAACAAAACTATGCAAAAGAACAAAAGTTAGGGGGTTCTTATATGATATTTAAAATGTTAGAATTCACAAGTTTATCATAGCTACCCCTTAATCTCAATCACCTAATTTTGATAACAATTAATTATGTGTACCTAGTTGAATTCTTTTGAGTTAGTTGATTTACGTCTCTCAAGTTCAAATCAATCTTACTCAATTAAGCCAGGCCACCATGTCTTTATGTAATTTTGGATATATAAGCATTGATATTTTTTTAAAAAAGGGTATTGAATCACTAATGGATTCAATTAATGATCACGACAACCATAAAATTGTATCTCTANTTCAATTAATGATCACGACAACCATAAAATTGTATCTCTACCTTTCATCTAAATTGCAGATTTTTATTAGGTACTGCTCTAACCAAATAACTTGCCTCTTGACTGTTAACAGAACAATGAGTTAGTAATACAGTAACTCAAAGTATTAAAAAAAAATGTAAAACTAGTTTGCAAATATTATCTGAAAATCAAAACATGATGTTTAAAATTTAGTTTTAAACTATGTTATATTTGTTTGTCCCTACTAATTTTTAGTTTATGAGAGAAAAATATGCAATAAAAGATTGGAGTATATCACCTAGTTTTAAGGAAGAACGAAGAAAATTGGTTGATCTCACACCAAAAATCCTTTCTCCAAGTTAAGAACTTTAAAATCCCAGTTTCTCAATTTTTGCCTTGATTTTTCTTCCCCTCTTCTTTTCAAATATTCCCATATTTTATATGATGTAACCCTCTTTTTGTGACCTAAACAGTGTATGTATATATATATATATATA